TACTTTACAACTGGTTCGAAAAAAAACCTCTATCCTGGGAAGAACCAGCAAGAAATCCAGCGGGACTTTTCTTTTAAAGAAAATTTTATATTAATGGTTGCACAAACTATATAAGTACAAAATTTATTTTAGACACAGCTTGATAGCGACCAACCCAGGGGTTATTATCAACCATGTATTCATTTATACTATAATAACCCTTTTTATACAGATTCAACTTAACAAAACATTTAAACTTGGTAATAGAGAGAGCCTGTACACTTTCCGGGACCTTGTTGTATGTAGAATAGCGTATACATTGCCCCAAGAATAAATTACTGACTCTGTGGAATCGAGAAACTGGTGAAACAGATGCATTGTCACCCGTGAGAACTAAGATGGAATGCCTCGTTTCCAGTAAAAAGGGTCTCTGGATCTATACTCTACACTCACCATACGAAACACAGCTGCATCAAGCTGCTATTTTACGCTGGTATTCTGTGAGAGCGTGGTCGTTCCCCGGTTGAGCCGACCCATTCGTGCTACAACTATACCAGAAATATAGTTGCAGCATGCCTCTACCACGTATAAAAATCGTTTGCTGTATTCTAACGAATTACACGTCTTGCAGTTGATTGAATAAAATGAATTTTTCATGATATTGAAACAACTGACTTGCAATTAATTTCTAAGAGTAGGAGTCCAACTGTGAACTATATGAAATTTATTATAAATTTAATACTCAGACGACTTTAAATTCAGCCCTATCAAATAAAATAAATGAAATAACTACATAGAACATTTAATATTTGGGTTCGCCTGTGTAATGAAATAAGATATAGGTTTATTTAGTTTTTATTGCCTGTGGTAAATATGAAAGTAGAGTAACATGAGTTTTGCTAATGAGTTTGGTCAGATCTGACGCTATTCGCATAGAGTTCCATTACTCTCATTTTCCTGTTTGAACAGTCTAGTCGAAAAGGTATTTAGTGGCTTAAGGAATAATGTGTGCTTATTAGGTGGTGTTATTGAACGATAAATCTAGTGCTAAATTATTATTGTTATCGTCAATACTTTAACGTAACTTTAGCGTTTAATTTACCGTGTAGTGGCGATGTAAGAATATCTACTACCCCATATTATCCCGTGGGTCTTGAAACTGAAACCAAAGATGCCAATCTTCGGTTTCAGCAGCATCTTCTTGATAAGAACGCAACATAAAAAACTGCAGTTGACAAGCACAGTGCCCCGCAAGTGCACAAATAATGAGTTACTGATTAGCCAACAGTTGGTTACATACTATTTCGTGGAATAAAACTAATTTTACGGATTTTATCGTATTTAAAATTTAACTTTTTTAAATTTTTAACTTTTTTAAGACTAGATTTTTTAACTTTTGCAAGACTTCAAGATACTGTATTCTCGTTCCGTGTAGACCTGACGAAAAATTCATATTTAAAAGATGAAGGTAGCCTTCGTTAACTATGACATTGGGACATCAAACACCTCAGTCCTCTCCGTGACCATGCTGGAAAGTGCCTGTAAACGTCGGGAATAGAAAAAGTTAAAATGATACGAGACAAAGTGCAAAACATTAGTTTTATTTCATGTGTAATATTTACGTAAATATAAGAAACCATTACATACTATTTCGATTCCAAATAACTTGGGATTAGAGTAGAATGGTACAGTCGAATTTTTATAATATAATACATAAATTTGGTGCAACAAAGACTACAACAACCACTTGACGTGTAAAAAAGTCATCGGATTCGAACCCGGGGGTCGTGCGTGTGGGAAAGCTGAAGCCGTGAAATCACTGCGCCACAACAAACGGCCAGTAAAAAATGTCAGGTCCAAATGTTGGTGTTTAGCACGTTACGACGCGGATCCGATACGACTGAATTCAAATAGTGTTAATATAATTAATTATTTTAATTCGGATTCGGAAGATATCGCCAAGCAATAAATCGACCAGGACATAACAGATATGAGGTTTTATGAATTTTCCACATGTATTTTTGCTCAGTTGGAAGCTGATCTCGGACTCTAAGTACTACTAAATTGACCTGAATTTTAAATATCTGGACAAAATATTAAATGAATCTTATCACTATTTCATCGTCATCATGTCACCTTAAATAGTCAAATACTGTACACCACCACACCACCACCTTCTTGATTTGAAATTAACTATTTTTTTTAAATATTAATAATAATAACTAAAGTTTATAATGCTATAAATTTTGGACTTGAAGTAGATTTATACTATTATATATAAGTTTTTGCGAATGACTTGTGATTGTAGGGAATCTAACGGATCTTTAAATATATTTTTAGTAAGATACACAATTATTATATACAGTAAAATCTTGGATTACCTAAAATAAGGATATCGTTTATAATTATACAAACCCCTTCTAAAATAACTTTTTTTTTCAATTTGGTCGCATATAATTTGCCCCATTAAAGTCACTGTGCACTCGTTTAAGTCTTTTATATAGCCATTTTTACAATGTTAAGAGAGAGCATAGTCACGTGGATGTGACGTGCGCGATACGATTTTCACCTTCTTTAACAAAACCGCCTGTGGCCTTTAGACGTAATTAAAAATTAAATATTATGTGTCATTTAGGACGCGGTAGAGATTGGTTTGGATAAGATCACCTCTTTAATGCGTTAAACGATCTTTTATATGGAAATTATCAGTGTTTGTGTGAAATTATATCTCTTTAATTGGTGTTGAATATATTTTTATAATAGCAAGAGCTAATTAGATTGTGATGTTTAAAAGGTCATTTCGTTGGGCACATGTTCGCTTGACTCTAAGTAAAGATATAAAATTATATCCAATTACATAAGATTTATGATTTAAGCAGTATTTCTTATATACCTGTAAAGTCTAAATCGTGGTTTAATAAGGGGTCCCATCATCCCATATCCTTCTGTGAGTGTCGTGATAGAAAATGATGTAATTACGCTGTTATAAAAAGTTAAACTTGCAGCCTATATATGCGTCCCACTGCTAGTCACATGTCTCCTCTCATTTCTGAAAGGGGTTATTGGGCAATAATAAAGTCCACCGGGCTGCCCCAATTCGTGTTGAATTTTTTTTCTTATTTCTCAGAGATGCAAACCTTCATGATGTTTTCCTTCACCGCCGTGCACGTGGTAAATTAGCAATTAAAATTGCAATTATTTCTCTACGTGGTAGAGCCATGTTGCAGCTATATTATGGTTGTTGCATGAATGGGTCGGCTCGACCGGGGAAGGACCACGCTCTCACAGAAAACCAGCGTAAAATAGCAGCTTGACGCTGCTGTGTTTCGTATGGTGAGTGTAGAGAACCGGATACCCTTTTTACTGGCAAAGAGGCATTCCATCTTAGTCCTCACGGATGAAAACGCATCTGCATCTTGAGTCTTTATTGAGGATATATGTAGATGTCTATGGGTCACAGTAACCACTTACCATCAGGTGGACTGTGTGCTCGTTTGTTACCCGATCCTATAAAAAAAATTATGAATTTCATTGATGTCGGCGAGGATCAAACCCAGGTTGATACTGTGAAATTTAGATACCCTGAGCTATCATGGCTCAGGGTAACTGTGCTGAAACATATGGAAAATCTTTTATTGCGATGGCAAATCCACCTGCCAGGACCTACCGTTAAAGAGGTTGTGTTCTTTTAAAAATAAATACTTCTTTAGAATCGTTGTGATTTGAAAGTCGATGAAACGAAAAAACGGCACTAAAAAGAGACAAACATATATCTATCGGACTCTATCTACCTATTTTCAGGGTTTAGCATGCTAGAGAATGAGAAATTATACAGCATATACTGTATTATTTCTATATTTCGTATTGTCTCGGTCTACTCTTTTAATAATTTCTGAAAGTTTCACTTCTCCCGCGTATGAAATGCACACATGTTATTTTTTATAGAATAAGGGTGACAAACAAGCACACAATCCACCTGATGGTAAGTGGATACTGTGGCACATAGACATTTATACTCCATTACAATTTAAAATGCAGGTACGTTGTCACCAACGTTGTTGGTATTCAATGAGAGCATGGTTCTACCCCGGTCGAGACGACCTATTCATGCTACAACCATAATAAAGCTGCAGCGTAGCTCTACCACATGGAATAAGTATCCCTCTTATATATAAAAAAAATCTCGCATCGATCTTGGACAACTTTATTCGTCGCTTTTACTGACTTTTTGCCGGTACTTTTTTCAACATTTAAGTATTCAAACAATGCGTTGTCGGCAAGATGTAATTAAAATTGGACGCTCTTTGGGCTATCCATCGCCTTTTTTGTGCGCCATAACATTTTTTGTGGCACTGGAATCTAATCCAATTGGACTTTACGACGTTTACTAATTGATTAGTTTAGCGTTGATTTATTTTAGTTCATTTTAATTGAAAAATAGATTAGATAATGAGAAATCCCGCCATCATTATTGTTTCATGTCAAATATATAAAAAAATAATGTTTGTTTGTTTTTATTTAATCGTTGCCATACTGTTCATTAGATTTTGGTATAACTATGTCAACTTATTGCTTGCACTTTTGCGAAGGTTATAAGTATAGCCTATTTATTTTCAGTGATGTATGTGCTATTAGCCTATGCAAATCTTACAGCTTCATCTAACACAGGGCTTGCGGCCTGCAAGGCTGCGAGCTATTTAAAATAAAAAGGGAAAGGCAATGATGGGAATAAGGATGATGCGGTTTATGATTTGGTATTGTTATCAATCATCATGTTCCCTCTGTTGAGGTTATTTTTGATCTATCTAACCGCTGTCCGATTGGGGATGTGCGGACCCCCGCCTCTGACTGCTCAGCCTGTGTCGGTCGATGTTCTAGGCGGTGAGAACCACCCAGGTACGCAGTTGTACGGTACGCGTACAGCGTTGTGTGCTGGAACGCGTCGTGCCCGCTTACGGGTGCGACGCTCCCTATCCGTTATCCTACTTGTGCTTGTCCCATTTGGCGTGAGTGTAGTGTCATTGTTTCATGTGCCTGTGGCGTTTGGGTCGACGAGATCGAGCGAGCGTGGTTGTTCAATGAGTACGTTACGCGGTTTACGGAGAGTCCGCGCGACGTTTGATATCGAGACGTAGTTGGTATAGGTATAGTATAGATGGCGCGCGTATCGTACACACAAATTTATTTGAAAGTCATATACCATTCAATTTCAATTAATGTATTTTTATTTCTAATTAAATAATATTTTAGATACCCTCTTTCTCTTTATAATGTACCCGGTCAAAACACGATACAATACAATTTTCTCCATTGAAAAAATACCAAAAAGATTTGCAGTTTTTTTTAAGAGCCAAATTTCATTTTAAACAAGTACTAATACTCCATTTTTCTATAAAAAATATCAATTTATATTAATTCATTCTGGATCGATCTAAACGATCGGATTTTTTTAATTACATTTATTAAAAAAATTATCGATTAATCAAAGGATTTTCGATCCGCGCGTCGCCTGCCCATGTCCCGCGGGACGTTTTCGAGGTAAGCCTGTGCCAAATTCTTGCGCGCGTATTTCTGTTCTGCTACGTAAATAATATTTAGAAAATAAAATAAATTGTAAATAACTATAATTTTATGGAACTTATATAGACTATAGGTAAGCTTTTGTTTGTATGTCTATTTCTCATTGTATAAATATTTGTTTATAACTTTAAAATAATATATTTGTGATTACTTTGTAAAAATCACGATCATATGCGCGGCCCGACTAGATCTTTGCGACGACCGTTTGTAAATACCTAATGTGCTTGGAACACCCAGCCTTAAGTGCTCATTTACCATTTGCTCGGCTGTGGAGTAAAGAACGAAACCTGCGTGTCTTAGAAATAAAATATTTTCAAGGACATGTGAAATCCACCAACACGCAAAGGAACAGCGCTGCGGACAATTTGCTCCTTAATCCTCGAGAAATATGTAAAATAGTAGAAATGATGTAAAAAATGTTTGGTATTTTACATTCGTCTCACTTCAATTATATTTCTCTCTTCGATTGCTGAAACATAAACGTGTACTAAGATCACTCCTTAAAATTATACAAATGATGTGGTAATAACATAAAAACTGTCAGTATAAAATGCGCGACTTTCATTGAAAACAACCGAACTCTGGATTCACCTACAAATAGGGTTACCAGATGAAAAAATCAAAAGTCCGGAGAAAAGGCCTGATTTCCCGTGAAAAATCCTGAGATTTTTTACAGTTTGAGAAATTTCTCTCCAACGTACTTAAAAATTTTAAAAAAAGTCAACGTTATAGGCAGGGGCATCGTTCTTATGACAGCAGTGTCGCACACTCACTCAGTTCCACCCCAATGCGAAGATTGGACTGTTTTAACCATACTCAAGTAAATCATCATCAATTAATCTCAATTTAAAATGAAATATATGCTCTAACCGTTTTCAAGACAATAATAGGTATTTCACGATTAGCAGAGATAATGCCTATTTGTCAAGATATATTTGCAATTACAGCCCAGAATGTAAGCGTAGAAAGATTTTTTTCTATTATGGGAGCTCAATGGTCGAATGAAAGAAACCGACACACGGTGTCTTCAGTTCGAGCTATACTTTTAATTCAATATACATAATTTGAAGAGTTTAACATGTGGGCATTACATTATAAATCAATACTTAAAGAAAACAACCTTACTTAAAACGATATTTTCACATATTAAGTATGATAAAACTGTTTAAGTACCTGCTTGGATAAATAAAATTTGATTTTTAATTGTGCAATCATTACCAAAGGAATATTATTTTTAGTTTGTATCGAAAATTCTAAAAATCCTGAGATTTCAGGAGATTTCCAAAATCCACCCGCAATCCTGAGAAGAGTCTAAAATCCTGAGATCTCAGGACAAATCCTGAGATATGGTAACCCTACCTACAAATAACATTCGTTGCTGGTCCTTCGAGCTGGAACTGTTTACTTGTATTTTTAAAGTATATACTGCATAGTACGTCGGCTAGATAGTGCAGCTAGGTTCAAGTTCTACATGGAACTTGATCACGCAATGCAAGATGTACAATTTGTTGAACGAAAATTTATACAAGTAATTGTATAACAATTTGGTACCTGCAAATAGACCCTTTTTACTGAGTATTTTATCTTCGTTCTCAGGGGTTTCAACGTACCTTAATTTTGATTTCTAATCGTAGATAAATGTTGATGTCTATGAGCCACAGCATCCACTTACCATCAGGTGGACTGTGATAGTTTGTCACCCTTCTTCTATGAAAAAAAAATTGCCGCAAGTTTAGGTGCAATTGTGTGGAATGTGCTTAATGGGTTGGGATTAAAATGCAAGATTCATCGTAATCAAAGTCACATAAGTAATATTCCAAGTGTCATTTAAATCGGTGCTTCAAAAATTAATTATAAATTTTAAACCGGAAAGACATATTCGATAAGAAAGCAAATAAAATAAAATCTCGCAAAGGAATAGACTAAGCAGCAGCAAACTGTGTTTTAAAAATGTATGACAGTACAGTTAAAAATATTACAAAGACATCAGGTGACTCCAAAGGGTCAGTCAGACATTCCATTTGAATCCAGTGGGCGTGGCGCCTCAGAAAATCCATTAAAATTTCAACATACCGCTCGATTTAATTCGGCCGCCTAAAACGTACCTCGTGTTTTGAACCCGTTTTATTTAAAAAGGATTTACTTTTTTATTACCTTTTGGAAACACCATTGTTAATATGACCTCAACTCCGTTTAAGGGCACTTTAAGAGGATTATTTATTTTCTGCGAGCAACAATCCACCAAGGACCATTACCCCGAGTTGTCTTAAATCGAGGGAGACCAGTTCAGCAGTTACTATAAATATAGACTATCTAGAAACTCAAATTAAAACCTACTTATCAGTCATTATGCTGATTCTGTTTACAAAGGGACAATTTACAAAAGTTAATAAGTTAGTAGCAGATAAATGTTATAAAAGCATAAGACAGCTCCGTGGCACAGTGGATTTTAAATGCGTTGTGGTGCTAAAGGGCGTGAGTTCGAGGACCACACGGAATATGTATTTGTATGGCCTACAAATAATTGATCCGGGTCTGGATGTTCGTCCTTGTGAAATTTATGTATGTAAACTACCTCCAAGATACAAAATGAAATTCTAGGGTTGGGACAACGTATCGCACGTTATCGTTCTGGGACAGCCCCGTATAAAACCTAGAAACAATCGCTGTTCAAACAAAACACATCCACGGAATGTCGTTACCGTGCCGTGGGAGTTTTCTTCAAGATTTCGTTAATCTTATCAAATAGTCGATAAGTTTGTTTGCGATAGGTGTCATGGTTTTCCATTTGTTTCAACAACCGCAGTACGCAAGTGACTACGAACAATCATACGAGCATACGTTTTATCTAGATGTCAACAAAAGGTATATCAATATTACATACTTGAAATTGTATTAGTTATGGTTTAAAACAGAATTTGCGCTAATTTTATATTTCTTTAAGTGGTTACCCATAGATATTTACATCTATCCTCAATAAAGAATCAAAATGCAGATGCGTTGTCACCCGTGAGGACTAAGACGGAATGACTCTTCTCAAGTAAAAAGGGTCTCCGGTTCTCTACACTCACCATATGAAACACAGCAGTGATATGGTGCTATTTTTACGCTGGTATTCTGTGAGAGCGTGGTTCTTCCCCGGTCGACCCGAACCATTCGTGCTATATATATAGTATAGTTAGTATAGTTAGTTAGTATAGTTGTATACAATTAATATAGCTGCAACATGGCTCTACCACGTATACGCGTTGTGCCAACAAGGTTCATTATCAAATTGCTATTTCACGCAGGTAATCTGTGAGGGCGTGATCCTTCCCCAATTTAGTCTATCCATTCGTGCTACAACTGTAACGTAGCTGCAGCATGACTCTTCGACACAGAAATTGTATGGATTCGGTAACCGCAATGATATTGGGCTACATTGTACTCACAGAACTTGTTGCACAATCATACATACCGGCCAAGGCAAATTTGGCATTAAAGACAGAGGTAGAAAGAAATAAGAAGGATATCATCATATATCATACAGATATATTATGATGAAATCATACAAATATATATATATATATATATATATATATATATATATATATATATATATATTTAATAAAAAACGAAAAAAAAAGATTGCTGTAGCTCAGGGGCTAAGCGCTCGCTTTAAATTTCACAGTACGCGGGTAACCCGGGTTCGATTCCCACCGGCAACAATGAAATTGGTAATTTCATTTTGAAATGCTGATTTGATACGTGCTTAGCCGTGATGTACAACATCGTGAGGAAACCTGCATGTCTGAGAAATACGAAACAAATATTTCGAAGTCACATGAAGTTCGCCAACACGCATTGGGGCAGCGCGGCGGATATTGCCCTAAAACCCTCTCAAAAATGAGAGGAGGCCTGTGCCCAGCTGTGGGACGTATATAGTTTGTAATTTTAACTATTAAATTTAAAAAAAATAGCAGCTTGATGCTGCTGTGCTTCGTATGGTGAGTGTATAAAACCGGAGACCCTATTAGTGGAAACGAGGCATTCCATCTTAGTACTCTGAGGTTACAACGCAATTGCATCGTGATTCTTAATTTTTTTTACTCATTATAAGCCAGTGCTTGACCACAATCCCACTTGATGGTAAGTGATGATGCAGCCTTAGATGGTATATCGCATGTCTAAGCGTAACAAAAGCCTATTCACTCTTGCCTTGTAGACGCCCAGATTGTATTCGAACGCAAAGATAGACTCCAGCAAATTATTCCACTCCTTTGCTGTACCTACGCATTACAAAAGACGAAGCAAACCATTTAGCTCTAATGCGTGGAATATCAACAACAAAAGGGACGAAGACCCGCCGATCGCCTGGTTGTCCGGTGGTGGAAAGGAAAGGGTGGAATTAAGGCGTGTAATTCCTGCGCACACTCACCGAAATGCATCCTATAGAATACCGAGAGATGAGGGTAGATGTAGACATTGATGGGCCACAGCACCTACTTACCATGAGGTGGACTTTGTGCTCGATTGTCACTCTTAT